TGTTCTATTGACCCCAAATCTTCCTCTAGTCTTGATCTGTCCTCTGAAGACACCCAGTCAAATCTGCTTCCAAAATTTCCTTCAGAAATTTGACACTAGGGATGACAGCTTCTCTTTTTCTTTAGGTTAAACAATTAAAAGTCATTATGAATGTAAGTAGGTCACAATAAATACTCTTATTCACTACATAATGTAAGTAGGTCACAATAAATACTATTATTCACCACATAATTACCTCTTGCAATACATTAGTGGGAAATTTGAAAAGCAGATTTATATTTAAATTTTAACCAAAAATCTAGAAGGAACCTGTTTGGGTGTTGGGCATGGAGTGGGATTCCTGTATTAACAGAGGATAGGGAAAGAGTTTCTCAGTTAATTTCTCCCAGTTTATCAACTGTGCCTTGTTTAAATAAAGTAACAGATATAAAAACTTTAATTTATATGATCCCTACCTGAAAGGTGACTACTGGCATCTTACAAAGATATTTCATATAAGTAGCTTGGAGTTACCATAACTCTCCTATGTGCCTCATCTGGGTTTCATTCATTTATTAAATAATGCTTTCTTATATGTTCACTTCGTGTTAATGCCCTTCCAAATACAGGGGATCAGGGGATACTGGGGATCAAGACATGGTTTCTGCTTTCAAGGAGTTTACAGACTAGTTGGGTAGGGGACAAAAATATGCAAAAGGCATAAAATACAAAGTGACAAGTACTATAAAGGGTATACCATGGGTAAAGGCATGAACCAAACTGTGGGTAAAGAATGTTTTCTCTGAGAAAGAGACATTGGAGCTGAGATTTGAAGCACAAGGAGCAATCGGGCAATAGGGATAGTGTGAGAGAATATTTCCAGCAGAGGAAATAGCATATGCAAAAGGTTAAGGTGAAGTAAAGATGCCATTTAAATGATTTAAAGATGTGGAGAAGATAATATTTATACAGCAGAAAGGAGAGAGTTGAGGCTGAAAAGCTACACAGGGGCTAGGTATTATAAGGTGCTGTAAGTTACGTGAAGATATTTGGGCACCGAGGAGCCCCTGAGGAGGTATAAGCAAGGGAGTGACATGAATAGATTTTATTTTTTGAAATATCCTTCAAATAGGATATGTGGTAGATGGCTGAAATGCCAAACACTTTCTAATTATGGAGATATGGGATGGGGCTGGATAAGTGAGGGAGAAGTGGGAGTTAAGGGTGACTTCCAGACTTCAGGCTTGGGTGACTGGGTAGGTGGTAGGGATAAAAGAAACCTAAGAGGAGGATAAGGGAACATTTGGTGAGTATAAGGATTAGTTCATTTTTAGAGTGATGACCTATGGGACACACAGTGGAAATATGCATAGAGAGCTGAATGTATGGGTTTGGAACTCAAGAGAATAATCTGGGCTAGAGATTTAGATTTGGAAATCATCTATTTATAGAGATCTGTAATCCTCAACATTGGTCATGGTGGGATATCTATCAGAACACCTTTGGAGAATCTTTCAGAATTATCACAGCACCTCTCAGGGTCTGATATCAATGTCAGTGCTCCTCAGGTCTTTTTCTCTCCCTCTCCCCCAGTTGTCAATTTAAAGCCATTTATCTACAGAGCTGCTGCTCCCGATGGCCCCTTTAGCTGTGTTAGGGCAGAAGAAAAGTGGTTGAGGTGGTGAGAGGGGATGTGATTGTCCAGGCAGAGTGTGCAGAGAAGAGATGAGGGGCAACACACTGAAGATCCCACTATTTTCAGATTCCCACACAACATTTCAGTGGCATTCCAATTGTATAAAACGGGGGTGAGGTGTAGCCTCAAGGGCCATCCAGGAGAGGTTATTTGCAGCCCCTCCATGTAACATTATGAAGGTTAGACTTGGGTCTTGAGAAGAGACAGAAAAAATAAGTGGCTTTACCCTACAAGCAGGAGAGTCTGGATTTAGTTTTGTTCCCACTGACTTCTACTTCAAACATCTGTTGATTTATTCGCTGCGGTGGATTGATTACACCAATGACCTGAGTTTATGGCATCTCTGTATCCAAACCCTTTGCTCTGTAACTTTGTAGTTACCTCCTATTCCAACTCTGGGCTTGCCCACATGACTTGCTATAGCCAACGTGATGTTTGCGAATGTGATACAGGCAGAGCCTGGAACAGTGTTTGTAGGTTTCTGCATCTTCTCTTGCACGTACTATCTCCATGATAGCCTTGTCCAGGCTAGCTTCTTGGACTCATGCTGCTGACATGAGATAATACTTGGGTTACCCAGTTGAAGGGATATGAGAAACATGGAAGGGAGCTGTTTTGGTTCAGATGAAGCCATCCCTAAGCCATTGAGCCCCTTAGCCTACTTCCAATTCCTAGTAGATGCACGAGGAAACCCAGCCAAGATCAGTCGATCCTGTCCCAGACTGGCAGAAAGTAGACTCAAACCGGCAGGGTGTGGTGGCTCATGTCTGTAATCCCTGTACTTAGGGAAGCTGAGGTGGGCAGATCACCTGAGGTCAGGAATTTGAGACTAGCCTGGCCAACATGGCGAAATCTCGTCTCTTCTGAAAACACAAAAATTAGCCAGGCGTGGTGGTGCACGCCTGTAATCCCAGCTACTCGGGAGGCTGAGGCAGAGAATCACTTGAACTCTGAGGGTGGAGATTACAGTGAGCTGAGATCATGCCACTGCACTCCAGCCTGGGTGACAGAGTGAGACTCTGTCTTGAAAAAAATAAATAAAAAAGCAGATCCAAATAGACAGAATGCCTAACTGATCTATAGACTTATGAGCAATAATAAATGGTTATTTTATAAAGCCACTATGTTTTGGGATGCTTTGTTACTCAGCAAGAGCTGATACAGTAACTGTAGCTAACTGATGCTCAATCATTCAGCATGCCTCTGTGGAGCACCTAATTTGATCCTGTGCGAAGACTTTTCTTACCTGCCACCATACTGGTTCTGTTGGCATGAACAAGATTCTACGTCAGCGTTCTTGTCCAGAATTTCACATTCCTGCTGGGACTAGACCTGCCCTCATGCCTTGTTGACTTGTTTGGGCTCCTCACCCCTGTTAAGTTCTTTTTAGTCTCATGCTTGCTGGGTTTCCGCTTTGACTGGACGAATCACTTGTAATCACTATACAACACCTAGAGCACTTCTCAGCACCTAGGTGTCCACTGTTGGTCACGTTGCACCTGCCTGGCTTTAGACACTGACCTGAAGTGTGCATATGTTTATTGCCCTCCTTTAGAAACTATATTGACAACCGGATGAAGAATGATCCTGACTGGCTGGCTTAAATAACAATGTGTGTCCTCACAGTTCTGGAGGCTGGAAGTCCATGATCAAGGTGTCAGCAGGGTTGATTTTTTTCTGAGGTTTCCCACCTCAGCTTGTAGCTCTTTTCCCTGTGAATTTGTGTCACCTTCTCTCTGTATGTATCTATGTCCTCATCTCCTCTTCTTGTAAGGACAAGGTCATATTGAGTTAGGGTCTACCTTAATAACTTTGTTGTAACTTAATTATCTCTTTAGAGATCCCATCTTAAAAAACAGTCACATTGTGAGGTACTAGGGATTGGGACTTTAACATATGAATTTTGGAATGACATAGCTCAGCCCCAAACACTCCCCAAATTCCCATCATGCTCAGTCTAGCTTTCTTCGTCTCCCTCTGACCTGTGCATTTGAGGTCTCCACATGTGGAGCCTCCAGGACCCCTGAGCTGTAACAGTTATCTTTACATGCATATTGTTCCCTGCATATCATCTCTTGGTCATTGAGGTGACAATGCCCAGTTTTCATTTGTACCTAATTTGCTTTCATACTTTTTAATAGTTTTGGTACTATTTGTTTGCCGGAATGAAGAGGCATGAGTCAGGTGACTGTAAACTGCTAGGACCAGATCCACAGATCCACTTCCCAGGGGGGATGCAGTAGCTGCCCTTCCCACATTGAGCCTGCAGAAGGCCATGGTCCAGGTGGTATATGCTTGGAGGTGGTGCTGTAGGGGGCAGGGTCTATGTCAGTCCCAGAGGAAGCACAAGTTTCTCAGATAAGAAGCAGCCAACACCCAGGAAGCCTCACGGAGTTGCAGAAACCTTCAGAAGGAGGTAGAGCTACATTTGATCCTGGCTCCACCAGCTGCTACTATGGCCTTGGGTGAGCCATTTGACTTCTCTGGACCCCAGTCACCTCATCTGTAAAGCAGGGAGAGAACCTCCTACCTCACACAGCTATTGTAGAGCTAGTAGTGCCAAGCCATGTGCCCTGCCCATGTCTCACTGAAAGGAAAACAGACTCCAAGCTGGGAAGACAGGAGAGGCCCATCTGCAACATTTTGGGGATACTGACATCTCATGGAGTGGTTGAATAACATCAGCCTGAAAGCCTATTCAGAATTTTCTCTTCCTTTAAGCTCCCTCTACTTGTATGTGTATATACTTGTATATACAAGTATATTCAGAATGCATGCATAGGATATACAGGATACATACAAACAAGAAGCACTATCCACATGCATGAATACACAGAGCACACACATCCATGCACACAGAGACTCACACATCCCCAGGCCATCCCTCCACTACAGATAGACGCAGGCCGCAAGTGTGCACGCATAGACACCCGCACTCCCAGGCCCGGTTCACTGTGGCTGTCTCCCTTTATAAAATGAGACTCTCAATTCATCATGATATGGTTTCCAATCACCAGGTCTTGTTTTCCCCACAATATATCTAAAATTAAATGCGAAGAGGGGAAAATCCCAAGCCGAGAGTAGGAAGCCATACGTACAGATTGCAATCACCACGCAATGTTGCTGGTTGAAAGAAATGGATGTTGAGCATTGAATGTTAAAAATTGTGTTGAATTAGATAAGAAAATCCCATGTAGACTTTGTTAATGATTCATAATCAGCTAATAAGCTCATCTTGAGGAGAATAATGATCCGCGGACCTGTTGGCTCGTTTATCACTGTGTTTTACAACATTGGCAAAGAAACTAATTAAATCCCCGCATCATTACAGAGAATCCCTTTTAATAGAGATACAATGATGCACTAGAGGCTACAGATTACACTGCAAATTGTACCAGGAGATTTTGGACAGCGGGTTTTAATTAACATGTGAGCCAGGAGCAGCTCGTTTAAATAATAACCAGCGCTGGAACCATCTGCAAGTAGGAGCCAGGCGGCGGGAGGAGGTGGGACTACGGCCGGGGAGGCGAGTCGTGCATAGGCTGTGCCTAGGGAATGCCTTAGATTCAGGGCTCTGGGGAGATTGGAGAAACTGAGGCAGGACTCAGCTCCAGAAGGCGAGGGAGAAACAAAAACTGGGGCATGTTGGGAGTCGAGAATCAGACCAGGTGAAGGAATACAGCTGTTGCTGGAGAATTTGGAAGCTGGGTACACATTGATGGTGGCGGCAGAGCCAGATGAGCTCTTGGTACCGTTCCCCCTGCCCCCCGCCCCCATTTTCCATGTGGAAAGACAAAACTAAGAAAGACCATTCAATGAATGAACATTCATCACAGACCACTGCCTTGTGTGGATTCCATCTCTTGGCATGTCAGTCAACTCAGCATGTTGCTAAGACCTGCTGGAAGGCAGGCTGGGCAGGTGCCTTGAAGTGGGATCCAGCGCTCTGATTCTGCTCAGAAGTGAGGAACTTCTTAAGTGGCACAGCCAGTGAGCCCTTGGCAACCAGAGTCCAACACTTTCCTTCCATGTTTTTCTGTAGTCTGGCTTTCAAAGGGAAACTTCAGCCAGAGGCCAGCAGACACAGAAGTACCAGTGGGCAAAAAGGCAGACAACTGAGGAGTAAAGCAGGAAACTGTTGGCTATGCATGGCACACACATTCTTGGAAATGAGTTCCTGGCAAACATAGGGCAAACTTTATGCTTTTGGGGCTAATGCTCATCTTCCTGGGAGGCCTGAAGGCTCTCCTGGAGAGCCTGCTCCTGCTGAGCTGAACTTCCTGAGGGCACAGCCTCTTTGGGGCTGCCTGGTCACATAGCACCTCCTTGGTTTTAGCTTGAACTGCTTGTCATTAATTTTTCTTGGCAGTCCGCTAGTCTGGGTACTCCTCTGTTTCGTCTTCAGGATCCACACTTTCCTTCCCAGGCTGAAGCTCAACGCTGAGGTGGCCTGTGCCACAGGTAGCCTCTCAGTCTTCAGAGAGGCTTTTCTGACAGTTGTGGGGAGGATGGAGTACCTGCACAGGCAACAGGCGAGAAGGAGTTCTTTCCAAGTTCATGTCCTTCTCTTAGAGAAAGCAAGCTGAAGGCTTCCCCCACTGCGGCTTGTATATTATTATTATTTTAAGATCAGCAGCAAAATGATTCATAAAACCTTGGAAACAGATTTAGTGTAAAGCCTCAAAGAACAAGAGCTCATTGTGCACTGCGACTCCCACCTGATGTTCTGCCGAAGGCGTGATACAGGCTTCTTTGAGATGGAGCTGCACCCGACAGTCACTTCCCAGCCTGCACTTCTCCTGAGCTCCCATGGCAACACCAGGAGGATCAGCCCAGCATCCTGTTAGCATCCCTAAGCAGTACCCACCCTGTACATAGGCCCCGGGAGGGACACTATTTGTATATTGGAGGTACTGCCAACACCATGCACACAGGCTTTTCAAGCTAAGCTCAGCCCCACCATGCATGCGCGCACACACACACACACACACACACACATAGAGTTACCTGCATAAGCACGCACATGTTAATCCCTCTCACCCTCTTTCCACCCTTGAGGCTGAGAGCTCTGTGGCACTGGGTCCTCCTCCCCGTCTCACTTAAGCCCACCTGGGTCAGGTATCCCACGTGGGCCACATGCCCCACATCCTCCCCTCTTCTCTGTCCCCTCATACTCACATGGTTGCAGAGTAAACAGCAGTCAGGTTGGGAGTAAGTCAGATGCCATGTAGCTCAGCCTCCTCACTTTACAGATGAGGAGAGTGGGGGTGCACATCAGAAGGAAGGAACCCGTTATCATGCATGTCACAGTGGTAAGCAGGACCAAGCATTGAGTTCGCTGACACCCAAGCAGGCATTATTCTGCTGTGCAATATAAGGGTCTCTTGCCACCCTTTCAGCTGCCTGCCTCATTGGGATTTTTCAGCAAAACCAGCACAATTGCTTCCTGTCTGGTCTCTACCTCTCATCCCACCCTCTCCACAAGACCCTCTAGCTCCTGCTCTGAAACTATCAGAACCTCCAGCATGGCTTATGTAGTGAGTCAGGTCTAAGGACTTCAAACATAGGAGGGATGGTCAAGGTTACCTGGTCCAACCTGCTCATTTTGATAAGGGGATTGAGGCTCTGGGAGGTAGGGGAGTCGTGGTGGATGGATGAATTTGACGACTAGTCCAACTTTTGGGAAGATTAACAAAATACTCAGTCCCAGAAGCAGGCATTGTGACATCATTGCAAAAGCTGCTGCTGCCTTTGATCAACAGAGGCAGGGCAGGTGGCTGCTACCTAGGCTGAGCCCAAGCCTTATGCAGTGGCAGGAGGGAGGACAGGGCAACTTTCTTCCCTGCAGTGCCTACCGATGAGCATCTCCCTCTCTTCTTTCTAATGGTGCCCTGGGGCCAACCAGCAATTCTAGGCAGCCAGATCCCTAGCTAACAATGCAGGTAGGAAGCTGATGGCAGAATGCACTCTGGAGTCAGCTAGACCTGAGTTTAAATCCCACTTTACCCCTAAGTCAGCTCTAGGATAGCCATGATGATCAGTGGTGCGTTACAGCTGACTCCTGAGAGCTGCTTTTTAATGTTTCAGGAATTTTGTGAACCAGTCATTAAACACAGCCATTATTAAAATTTAAATTATAGAAACTTATATAATTTATGTCTACAACAAAGGTAATAAACAGTAAAAGCCACATCATTTTCTAATTATTTTATTGTTATTTCTACTCTAGAGATAGTACTCTGGAGGCTGCATCTGTTTTATCTGTAGGGAGGAAATACTGTACAGTGGTGTGGTAACCCCTGTCTCTTCCCAAACCCCTGTGCGGGGATGTCACCTGAGTAGCTTGACGTCAGCCAAGGTGGGAGTATTTCCACCAAGGAAATCAGCAAAGACCACATATGTAGGCTTCATTTTTGTTTTTTTGAGAACTGGTTGTTGTTACATGTTTACTGGGATGCCCATAATTGTATGTACTTGACCCTTCCAGCAGTGCTGTGAGGTAGGGATTCTTGTTTCATAAGGAGGAAACTGAGGCTTAGAAAGTGAAGTGGCATCTCCAGGGTCACCCAGCTGGTGGGTCTTAGAGCTACAAACTAAACTCACCTATGTTTTATGACTCTAAGTCCAGTATTTTTTTTGTAAATTTGAATTGAATTTTCACCTTGAGCAGAGTGTGATTGCAATTCTGTTCCCCTCCAGGCTATGGCCGGCAGGAGGCATTCCCCCAATGACTGAGATGCAGGACTGGGGTGTGGCTGCAGCTGCTGTGCAGGTCCCTGCAGGTCTAAGGGTGGTGGCAGGGGCATAATGTCCGGAACGCCATGTGTGCTACGGAGGAATGTCTGCTTTGGAGGGAGGAAAGACCTGGATTTAAAGCCCACCTTGATGCTGCTACTTTTCTGCATCATCCTGAGCAACCTAGAGGCTTGGGTTTCTCATCTCTACAGCAGGGATATTACCACCTCACATGACTGGCTTGAGAATTAAACAAGTGAATATTTCTAAAGCACCTGACATGGTGTTGCTTGCAGTAAGCATGAAATAAATGTTTGTTTCTTTTCGTCTCTTCTTCCCACCACTCATCCTCCCAGTAAAAATTCTCTGTTGTCATGAAGGCCAATGATAGCCTGGGAGCGCTGATGCAGACAGGCTGCTTCCTTATGGAGGAGGCATCTTTGGTTTCTATGCCAACCTCTTGGTCCATGTTCTTTTCCATGGTTGGGGCAGCGTGGAGCTCACTGCCAGTTGGTGGGATTCTGTGGTACTGCATTGGGCTTCAGTAGGCTTCAAAGCCAGAGGGAAGAGAAGGTAGGAGAAGCTGTAAGAAGCGGAAGTCTGGGAAGCCAAAAACATGCACTGTACCTGGCGTGCCTTAATTGTCTCTCCCACCTGCCTTCCTCCTCCTCAGCACTTGGCATTCCCTCCTGCTGCATAGAGGGCATCACTGCATGGCTCTGGTCTGACTCCTTCCCGAGGCACCACCATGGCTGCCACCACTGCTAAAGCCATGATGCCCAGTGCAGCAGATGTGGCTACTAGAGGTTCTGCTGTGTCCAGAGTCTGGTCACTGCTTACCCATGCTCATCATAGCATGGCTGAAGACCTCCTTCCCCATCTCCCTTCCCTTCCAGCTTCCCAATCATAAACTTCTCCACACCCAATCTCAGGCCTGTCTTCTTTCGTCCCATCTGGGAGGCAGAGCCAGCAGACCCCGAACACGTACTCTGCATCCACTCCCCAGGATCCTGTCGATCCTGCTCTGACAGTCACCTCCACTCTGTCTCAGAGCTCCAGCCTCACTCCTCTCCCTCTCTCCTGGCTAGTTCTTCTCGGATTGGATCATGAACAAACAGAACATTTTTCGTCTAAAAATAAAATCCGCCTCCCTTAACTCAATGATTATTTATCCTCATTGCCTTTTTTCTCTCCTTTTCAAAGCCAGATTCTTGGAAGGGTGGGCACTGTCTCCAGTTCCTTATCTCCCTCTCACTTCTTTCCCCACTGCCGTCCAATTTTCACTCCCACAGAAACCAATCTCATTAAGGCCTCCATGTCGCTTCGTCTGAATCTAATGATTATTTTCAGTCTTTGCAGGACCTGTCTAAGCCTATTTGACACCTGACCACTCTCCTTTTTTTGGAAACCCTCTCCGACCTCATGTGCAGTGTCCTGGGTTTCCTCTTATCTCTCTGACTCCTCTTCTGACCCCTCTACATTGGCCCTTCCTACCTCTTCATTGTTGGTGATTCTCAAGGCTCTGTGCCCAGACCTCCTCTCTTCCCACCATAAACACCTTCCCTAAATACTCACATCCCTCCTTCCTCTTATGGGCTCTGATGACTCCCCAGGCCAAGTTTCTCTCCTGACCTCAGACCTGAAGTTAGCACACCCGTCCCAGTATGGTGACACTCAGCGGCTCAAGCTCAGTAGGTCTGAAAACTGATCACTCTCCCCTTGACACTCTCCTTCCTGCTGTGATCCACTCAACACGGCATCCCTCCAGGCACCCACAGAAGAAACTGGATGCTTTCCCAGGCTCCTCTTGTTTTTCTTGTCTGGTAGTTCATACAGTTCTATTGACTCTGTCTCTTTAAAACCCTTCAAATGTATCTGTGTCTCTCCATTCCTACTGCCGCCCCCTGGCTTCTCATCCAGAGTATTCCAGCAGTCTCTTAACTGGGCTCAACTTCAGGTCTTCTTCTACCTTCAACCTTTTCTCCCACTGCCCAGCTGAAATGCAGATGTCAGTTGTATGAAATTCTTCAGTGACCCTGCAGCTGCTTCTGGATAGGATATGGGAAAGGTAATGAAATTTGGGGGTCACTGGGATTCCAGAACCAACCTCCGGCTGGCTGAGCAGCTAACAACAGGGCTCTTCTGCAGAGCTGGGGTCTTCTCATTCCTGGAGACCAAAGTCTTATTGTGGAATGCGAGGCTCATGCAATTTCACCCCACACATCTTCTCATTCTTGTCTCTCGTTAGTTCTAATCATGCTGAACTCACATAACCCTGAATACAGCATGGTTACCCTTACCCTGAAACATAAGCTCAATACAGACAAAGATTTGAGACTCTTTTGTTCACTGTGGTATCTCCAGCCCCTAGAATACTGCCTGGCAGAGAAAGACAGTGAGTAAATATTGGTTGGGTAAATGAATGAATACCTTCTTGTCTTCTCTCTTGGAGATTCTTCTCCTACTTAGACAACTCAGAAAGCTCCTCTAAAAGCCTTCCTGCGCCTCATTGTTTGGGTCAGTGGCCTGCCCTCTCCTCCCACAGCACCCTCAGTGTCCATGTCATATTGTTTACGTCTTTTCTTCAGAGCCATGTCTCGTGTCCAGGACCCCCCATTGCCCAGCACAGAGCTTGGCTCCCAGGAGGCACTTATGCAATAACTGTTGAGTAAATGCTGTACTGCCTGGGGACCGAGCCGTGTCAAGCCCACCTCTCTCTGTGCTGGCATTCTCCCCTTCCTCAGTGACCACAACCCCCAGCTCAGACTCCTCCCTAATGTTCTCATCATGGTCCTTTGTGGCTTCTGCATCCCTACAGGGACTTTTCGGGGTCAACAAGGCTTGTAAACTCTCATTTGATGTAGCTGAAGCCATCACTGTCTGAACGTTCCTCTCTGGGGAGCTAGAATTCTGGAGAATTGGTCAACAGTATTGGGTCTTTCTGGTTTCTGCCTGAGGATCCAATATGGGACCTTATCTCCCTGGGGAAAGGATCCCCAAGATCCGGGCAAAGAAAGGATCAGAGTGAGTCTCTCCCTACAGACTGGGAGGTGGGAAGGCTTGTGTGCTAACAAGGACACAGGGTGTTGGCCATGGAAACCAAGGTGGAAGCCCTGCCATACCTTGGAGGAAGGCTATGACCTGGGGGCACAAAGAAACCAAGAAGTCACCCTGAGAACACCAGATGTTGGGCCTCATAGGGCTGCACAACTAAGTCTAATCCCTGTCTGCTGCTTGGAAGGAAATAGATGCTTATGGCCTCCCTTTCCCCATTAGGATGGTCTCCAGGAATGAGAAGACCCCAGCTCTGCAGAAGGGCCCTGTTGTTAGCTGCTCAGCCAGCCTGAGGTTGGTCCTGGAATCCCAGTGACCCCCAAATTCCATTGCCTTTCCCATATCCTTCTGTTTTGTCCCTCTTAAATCCTGTCTCCATCTTCAACAGGCTCTCACCCCCCTACTTCTCTTGATTCTCTTCATCCATCCTCTTCCTCTAGACTCTCAACCTTGACCCCATGG